GGGATGGACGAGATTGAGGGCAGGGGTAATCCTAGAGAGGGGTGAGAAACGTCCATTGTTCTCGTCAGCGAGGCTGTACTTTTTCAGGGTTTGTACGCACGGACAGAAAACTTAAGTATTGTGGGAACGTTACTAATGAAGCCACTGGTAGTACTAGTAGATATCAGCCTGTAGTCTTGAACAAGCGCCTCGATGACGAGTGAACAGTTGTCAAAAATAAAAGACCCAGGTGTGGTAGTTCAACTACTGTTCATGCATGCCGCAACAACCAAACCTAATTGCTCCTCAAGGTCACAAAACAATAACCGGTACTGACGGCTAGGCTCGTCTTAATCATGTAAGTAGCGCGTTTCCACCCCCTGATTGAGGGAGTCGTCTGTTGTATTCATACGACTACTACTTGACGAAAACGAGGCGCGATACCCGGATGACAGGTAGGCTTATAGAATTTGTGATAGGGTATGATACTCTTTTATGCGATCTGACACACACCTTGAAAACGGGTAGTATGGTCAGATATACCGGTTTATTCTGGACCCGTAGGTGCCGAGTCTGGTAGTTGGGAAGGCCTGTTAACTGTCTTTTAGCAATAAAAACTGAGTAAATCATAGCTTTATAAAAGATGAATATCCAACACTTGAGAAAAACTAATGAAAGTGATATTTCACTAAATTCTCACTTGGGAAATAAATTCACCAGACCAAATTTATTACATAAAGCAAACAAAAAGCCCACAAACACATGATCTCGGGAGATTCTGATAGTGTTTCTTTTCTATCATTATCAGCGGTTAGCAGTGATTAATAGTCTGCAACCCAATTCCAAAAGAACTTCACTGTCATCTCTGTATAGTGCTTTCCCTCAATATAGGTGGTATAAAGATTACTCCCTAAGGGGCGTTGGGGGCCCTCTGCCTGGATTATAACAGAACTATGTTGTATCAATAAATGATGGCGTGAGGTACACGTTGATACTGAATTGTTCTACTGTAACAGTATATTTCCTGTCTGTAAGTACACATTCCACATGCATACCCATGCAGATATGTACATGTAAGAACATTCATATATGCAAACACGTGCAGATCAATACCCATGCTATCCTACCTTTACACATGCGAACACATCCACAGATATACATGCGGCCCCATCATACACACACACACATGATGTACACACACACACCATGCACAAACACACACATCCTTACATACAGAAACCAACTGAGGTACAGAAGTACTATAACGCCATGAGATAAATCACAATAATAAATCGTCCTACCTCTTAATTACAATTACTTATATCACTATGACATCACAAACCTCCCCAATCTTAAGAAATCCTTTTGTTAATTAGACTAGCTGATCATAAAAAAACCCTCACACCCACCAAAAACCTTAATTAAGTCTCAGTTGCCACAATGTTCAAGAGATAATTTAATTTACTGGCACTGTATATGAACAGAGGGTTTATCTGCCCCGCTGTTTTCCTCTGATTGATTTTTTTTCTTTTGGATATAGTAAGATGTGATTCAACTGAAAAGTACTTTTACTCACATATCCAAATACATGTACACACACACACACACACACACACACACACACACACATGGCTAAAAACCAAATTAAGATAACATAATTTAGTCTAACATGCCTGTGTTGTTAATATTCTTCTTAACAGACATGAGCCTATGTTTAAAAAAAAACTATGAACATTTATCGAATCTCAGACAAGACTAATCTCAGGAACCATTAGAACTGAATTAAAAGACACAGAATTCCGTGTTTCTGTAGAAAAGGCTCATGTCTGTCTTAAGCAACCTCTGTAACCTATATACTCCATTGAAATCATTAACAAGGACATATTGACCAGCTGACCATCCTACTGACCAAATGTAAAAATATAGACCATCTGTGTCTAAGTGGTCAAGGTATCTCATAAAATACCTGTATTATGATTAAAGCACGAGAAGAACTCAAGGTTTCTATAAAAGAGCACATATGTCTAAAACAAAGCACTAAATGATAATTCTACATTTAGGTAATTGTCACCCATTCATCTGAATAGATCTAAATACTCACAATAATGATATTGTACATGGATTGAACAGGGGAGTAAAAATAATATCTCTGTCCTAAAGGGTCTTAGTATATTGTTACGGACATCTAGAAGGTGATTATCAGAGTAAAAGGGAAAACCATTTGCAAAAATTCTTACTCATCAATATTTGAAATGAACTCATGATAAAGAACTATAACTATTTCATAACCATCAACTAATTAATCTGTTTTTCAAAATTTATCACCTTGGTATCTCAGGAATGTATTTGTTAAATCTCTGACTAAAATGCAATTTTCTTTACAGAATACTTGAAGCATCTTTTAAAGTTTGCTGATTTAAATGAAAAAATATATATTTTGGGATATTCAGAAAGATTAGGTTATTACTTTATCTCCATAATCGTAACTGGTTCATTGCTGAAACACAAAAGGCATATTTACACAGGCTCCTCATTCAATGGATCGAAACATGCACGCGCATGCATCTTAACATAAACATACATAAAAACCATCTAAAATAGGAAGTTTTTTGTTTAATCAATTGTATAAAGACAGAATTTATTCTGAAAACATCAGAAACTCACTGACTTTCATAAATAAATAAATAAATACAAGAATTGATTGTAATCAAACTAGTTATGGGTAAAAAAATTACATATATTAAAAAAGTTATTCACATTTAATTAAAACTATTGCCAGAGCTTACAGCATAAACAGACTGAGTGAACATGTGTTA